TGACTGCGAGCCTCACTCACTATCCTCTGCACGAATGACATGTTCGATAAAGCAGTTCGTAAGAGAACACATCAAAGTTTGCGGAATCACTGGCATTTTTCGGGATTTGCAGAGTTTTGTAAGAGTCCTACGGAAGTTCCCGTTTCCAACCACTTTGGCGTGAAAATCATGCGGAAGTCCCCAAATTCGACGTTTTCACTATTGCAATATCAGACAAAGTAGTGCAAAACTTCTGCAAATTTCTCTTGTCCTACGGAAGTTCCGGTGAACTATCTGAGTTACGGCAACTTCTCACAAACTATGGATCAATTCATTCACTTTCACTAGTAGTTCGTGTCCGGGTAAATGATGCGAGAATGTGTAGCAGGCGCTAATACCCGAAATCGCCAAATGTTGTTTTTGAAATTTATAAGTAAAATGCGCAGCTCAGAATACTAATATTAACATATATGTAACTTGATAACATGATGTAGAGTGTGCGCTCGAGAAGTTTTGTTTGTAATGAAAATTGTTGGACGAGTATAGCTGTATGGTTTTCAGGTTGCTGGAGGTTCTGTTCTGCATTTGGTACTGGCCCTTCGTGGTGGATAATCGTCCCACTCGTCTCACTCACTTGTAATTCATATTTGTGCTGCTTCAAATTTTCCTTCTACCGGTGATAAAGTGCACGCTTACTTCGACGTTCTTTGACATGTGATTAGAAGGTTATCAAAATATATTGCAATACTATGCTGGACCAACTTTTGGTTGTGTCCAGAATAGTAGTATAACATCCACTCTTGAGCAACGAAAATATGGCATATCACTAAGGTTCATACTAAACTCAATCTTTTTTATACGGCATGTGGGCCGACTTGCAATGCTTGGTTTGACAGAGAACAATACCTAAATTCGTTGCGTGCACACTTCAATCCTCATTCTGTTGACCTTGAATGTAACAAATCGGTGAGCATCTAGCTAAAGTTATGGTATATGATATTTACTCAACGCACGAGGCATCAGTTTTATTCAGTCCTCTCATGAGAGTTAGAAATAATAATTGTCAGCCTAATCTATGATCTAGTGATTTTCATGCGTTCGTGTTTCTCACTCTGGAATAGCTTGTTCATCCTCCTCAACGACAACCTAAAAATACTGAAAAGTTGGAAGCATTTGAGTCAGAGTTGGTGAAGTTAATGTACGACCAATTTGTCTTTGCCAGTCCATGCTAGGGCCGTGCCGGAACGTGACCGATCATTACGGGCGCGTCCACGTCGATTTCGGCACGGCCTCGGCACGGACATTCTGGAGGCTGTCTTACTCCTCAAGCGCATACTTCGCTATTTCAGTCGCTACGCAGTTGCAGATTGCCAGATGTCTTGAAATGCAGTGTCTAGACCACAGCATAGTTTGTAACATTCACAGCCCTATCTTTTATGCATGCAGAATTCGTTTACGATGACCTGTTAACCTTATGGAGTACTGAAATTACGCCGCAGCTGAAATCGCGAAGTATGCCGGAGCCTGCAGTGAAGCCGAAGTCTTGCTTATTCATTGTTCTTTATCATGCTCACTTGAATAATGCCGGAATGAACAGCGAATAATAAAGAAAGAGTGATTGCTCCCAGTCCAAATAAGATAGTGTCACGCAATGGCAAGTCATCCTGCGGCTGATTGGCTTCCGCTGAGGCAGCCTGAATTAGAAGAATGTAAAAATGTGATTTCATAATGAAAAGGAAAGGAATTATTACCTTTTCTGCTTCTTTAGCTTTTTCAGCTTTCTGTAAACGAGTCTCCCACATTTTTCGTTCTGCTTTCTGCCTTCGCAGCTGCTCCTCGGATGGAGGAAGATAGATTGAAGCAACTTGTTCCACAAAGCGTACCTAACCAGTACAAAGAATAGTTCAGCAGCTGAGAGAGAAGCTGTAAAATGTATACTGACCAGGTTTGGGCATGCTCTCAAGTGCAGTTGTAACCTATCATTCGGTAGAGGTAAGCGCAGAAGTGGCGCCAGATAACCGAATACAAGAGCATCCAGAGAGCTCGGTCTGAACGGGAACAACCTTAGCAAGTAGAAAGATACTATGATGATAAGTCACCCACTTGTTTCCGCAGAAAAATTTGTTGTCGCCAAGTTTCGCAGAGAGCATGTTCAAAGCCTAAATCATTGCGTGAAACGAAAGTTATAATGGCGATGCTTCAAAGATCTCAGATAAAAGTTTGCGAACAGTACTAAGCGTGAACACATAAGCAAACTTGATAGTGACGCATGTTCGCACATTGTAGTGTGAGACGCTTTCTACTCTTTCTTAAAGGCATTGTCCAGGTCAACTTGGGGGTAATGGGGTCTTGACGCA